CCGAGGGGCTCGGAGCCTACCCTAAGTTAGTGACTAGGACATAGTCAACCTGCACTGCGGGTTGACTTCACACATATCTTTGAATTTCTTCGCCGATAGTGCAGGTTGCATCACGATGTTTTCCTTCACCGTAAGAACGTCGGGTAAATTATGTACATACGAAAATTCGAAAATCACATTGGTACGGCGGGATTCGAACTCAAGACCTGTAGATTACAAGAAGTTATTACAGGAAGTTTTAAAGTAAAAGGTTAGAGTGGTATGGATATATTATGAGAAGGGATTAGTCGCATATTAGTTATGAATGTACACCGGTAGAGGTAGACATAGAAATGGATGGATTACGTGAAAGCTGACATGATCAAGAAGGGAGTGATTGAGATGACGGATGATAGAGTTATTTGGATGACGAAAACCCGGTGACGATAAAATCACTGAAGATATAAAAAAAAGAAATTCAAGATGGTGAAAATATCGCCTCTAACTTATAAAGGGTTAATTTGAAATAGATTCATAATAAAAACTTGTGCGTTAAACATTTTTTATAACAATGAAAACACCCACTAAAAACATGTAATTTCCAGATAATGCGTACAAGAGAAGCAGCGCTGTGGGAGTTAGAAGAGAAGCAGATACACGAGCGACATCAGCTCGCCAAGAGGCAGCTGAAGGACGAGTTCCTGCTGCGCCGGCACCAGATGCTGGTGCGACATGACAAGGAGTTGGAACAAATTAAGAGGTAACGACACGTGATACGATTTTAGACAAATGCTTGTTTTAGAGCAAAAGGAGGTGTAAATGTTAGAATTACTCAAAGAATTATGATAAAAACAGCTTATTTATCTAATAGATTTTATGGTTTAAAACATTTTTAACAAAATTAGCTCTTAAAATAATAATTTAAAATAAATAACTGACTTCCAGTCGCAAGTCTCTTTGCACGGAATTTATTACAAACTAGTATTATTAAGTATGTAGTCTATGTTTTCTTCCACATATTTTACATCTATGACAAATTTCATCGAGATCTGTTCAGCAGTTTAGGCTACAAACAAACATCCATCTATACTTTCGCATTTGTAAACATACTTCATACTTATAGTAAAAAATATCTATCAATGTTTATGTTTGTAGGAAAGGAAAGGATGTTTGTAGCTTAAACTGCTGAACGAATTTTGATGAAATTTACGCGGACGGAGTAGCAGGCGAAAACTAGTATAAAATAAAAATATAGTAAACTAACATTACAGAAAGAATACCCGAAAAGAAGAAGAATTAAGCAAATGCCAGGCGTTGGAGAAGCGGTCGTTACCCAAACGTATCCGAGCTGAGCAGAAGGCGCGGGAGATGATGTTCAGGGAGTCTCTGCGCATCGCCGGCACCGCGCATGATGATGACAGAGATAGGCTCAAGAAGGTATATGACACCATGACACACTTGACACACTGAATGACACCAGGTGGAAATGTCCCTTAGAGAAATATTTATGTAAAATGTATATCTGTACTAAAAGAGGAAAGATTTTTATTTTTGTATGTATTGAAATAACTCGAATGCTACTGGGCTGATATTTAAAATTCTTGCACCATTCAAAGCTACATTATCATTGATGCTACGTTTTTTTATTTTCCAATTTTACGTGGATAAAGTCGCGGACAACAGCTTTTTTATATTACTCGCTACTACGTCGTCAAAGCTAGGTGTCTACATGTTATATTAGCTGTTGCTCGCGACTTCGTCCGCGTGAAATTCAAAAATATAGCCTATGTTATTCCGCAATAATGTAGCCTTTTAATTGTGGAAGAATTTTTGGAATTTGCCCAGTAGTTTTTGAGTTATTTCAATACACACAAAAAAAAAAAAAACAAAAACACAAATACTTTGTAATGTTAGTATAGATTGTGAAATAAAATGATGATTCAGATTTCATAAACATCATGGCATTGCTAAGAAAAATTTAATTTCTAACTTTTTGTCTATGTTTTAAAATCAACGTTTGTTCCGCATAATCTCCGAAACGGGTGAACTTATTTTGACGGGACTTAGACTAAAATGTAGTTAATGTATCTTTTTTTTTTTATATAATATAAGGTGGCAAACGAGCAAGCGGCCACCTAAATCCACCGAAATGGAAAGCGACCGCTGCACATAAACATCCGCAATTGCAGATGCGTTACCTACCTTTAATTGACGGAAGAGGAGACGCACATAAAGAGGAAATTTTCCCTTTCTATACGTCTCCTCCACCGTCAAATCCACTTTTCCTTCCCATTCTTTCCTCTTAAGAAAAGGGTGGAAAGGGAAAGGGATAAAATTAGGCTTCCGGCACCACACTCATCAGACGAAACGCGGAATTGCTTCCACTTCACGCCTGTCTTCTGTGTGGTCGTGGTATTACACCGGGCGAGCCGGCCCATTCGTGCGAAGATGTAAAAGCGGGCTCTACCACTGTTAAAATCCAGGAATGTTATAGGCTACTTTTTTAACTCTACATTAACTAAATAATGGTAGATTTAGTTTTTAATATATATTTATGTACAGTTCCAGGAGAACGAGAAGCGCAGGTACAGAGCGGAGCAGCAGAGGCTGGCCACGAAACACGCTAAAGCGAAGGAGGAATTAAAAGCCGCTGGAGAGGTGAGCATTCCAGTAGTTTTATATTTTTTTTATCACTAAACACTCATTTACGGACTTTAATTATATTTATGACTAGCTTATGCCCGTGACTCCGTCCGCGTGAGATTAAAAAATAATAAAAAAGTGAAAAAATATAGCCTATGTGACTCACAGATAAATTACCTTTCTAAAGATAAAGGAATTTTTAAAATAGTTTAGTAGTTTTTGAGCCTATTCATTACTATCAAAGTTTTCTTCTTTATAATATTAGTATAGACTAGTTAATGCTTGCGATTTTTCTTGCGTTTAATTAAAAACGTTAAAAAACATAGCTTTATGGATGTTTGTTATCTGAAATTAATCAATTTATTTTAGGCCTTTGTTACTTACTAATATCGTAGCTTTTTATTGGTGAAATAGAAATCGGCTCAGTAGTTTTTGAGTTATTTCAATACATACAAAAATACAAGTCTGTCGTCTTTAGTGTGTTATTATTGTTAAAATTAGTATATATCAGAAAAAAGAGTAAATATCAGAGAATAAATTCTTATCTACGTATAAATCTAATAAGAAGCCGATGTATTCCAGGCGCTGCTCCGCGAGCTGGAGCAGTACCAGAACGAGAAGCGCAAGGCGCTGATGAACCACGAGAGCAGCAAGATGAAGGCCGTGGAGGAGCGCTACGCCCTCGAGCTCAAGGAGTGGCGCGCCACCCTCGGCGACAGGAAGACGGTCAGTTGACACCATGACACACATGTCACCGTGACACACATGACACCATGACACACATGACACCATGACACACATTTCACGTTACGCGATACAAACACGGTAATATACCATAGATATGTAAATTTAATTACCATAGATATGTAAAAAAAATTATTATAAAATATAGTCCATCAGTACTCAGTAATAACGGAGGTTTTTAATGGTAAAGGATTTTTTTTGAAATCGACCAAGTAGTTATTTATTTAGAGTTATTTCAATAATACAAAAATACAAATATAAACAATACAAGCCTGTCCCGCCAAATTGTAAATTGTCTAAATAACAATCCAATGTTTAAATATGTGATGGGAATATCGGATTTTGTTACCTTATCTGACAGTGACGTCATTTTTAAAATATCTGAGTCTATCAGCCAGTGGTGGGACAGGCCCTAAATGTACTTTTTATTAACTATAGGTTACATATCAATGGGATATACCAATATATTTCCTCTACAATACTATTTTACAAACACATACTTTTTGTAAATGTTTTATGTTTTTATGCATGATAGCGTGAAGTATGCATGATGCATGCATGCATATCTTGCATGTTAATCAATCGAGTTTTAAATAATAGTGTTATTTAAATAATATCCATCCAGAACAGTAGTTTTCGCGTTTAATGTTGATTAGTGTATTTTTTATTTTCCATTCTGCTCTGCTCCTATAAGTCATAGCGTGATGTTTAATACACTATGACCTTCCTGAATTATTTACCTATGAAATGTAAAAATAATTGTTCAAATTTCATGTATATTTGTTGAGATTAATGATTACAAACTTTTTAATATTAATTATTCTGAAATCTTAAAACTCGGTTGATTATATTTAATCTTTATTGGAGTTTTCACTACTTAAACATGTACAAAAACATTATCTCTTTTATTCTTCGAGAAAAATAGATAATAAAATGTTGATATACATGTTTGTTAGTAGTGAAAACTCTCTTGTCGCATGACTGGCTGTATGAAATGCTTATGAAACTAACGGGTGGTGGTCTCACCTGCAAAGGCTTTTGAAATGTTTTGAAATTAACATTAAATGCATCTTGGTAAATATTTTTATTAAAAAAATATATGTTTCGTTCATAAACACGATACAAGCTACTAAAAAAAAATATAAGAACTTGCCAAGTAAGCAGCCAGAATGTTATTATTGAGGAAATTCCAAATTTACTAGTTTTATGCATAAGGAAAATTTTAGGTATAAATTTCACATCATTTCAAAAGACCTAGTACATCTAGGTGTGGAATAAGTGTTTGTGACGTCCTTGCGACAGCAAACGCTAAACTACCCACAATTTGTCAAACAGAACCTCATTAGAAGCTTCGAGAAGCATCTCGACGATCACGAGAAGAAGTACGGAAAGGCCATACCTGATAGATCTTTGTACCTCGATGCACCTTGGCCGAGAAATGTACTCCAGCATGTCCTCAGCGCGTACCAACAACGAACATCTTTCATAGGTTCCCTATCCAGGTCTAGAACCAGTCTGAACCTAGCTCTGTCCACCTCAAATACACCAAACATGGATAGAAGGCGATCAGTCAGTCCAAATAATGACTACAGAACAACAAAATCAGCAGCCTCAAGTATCACGAGTACTTCAAAACGGGGAAAACTCATCAAAGCCCAAAGATATAGTTCCACATCTAATTTGAAATTGGTTTCAGAGAAAATATCAGGTTTCTCAGTGTTCCGTGGCTCGGATGATGTCAGACGCGAACCAATAATGGCTTACGATATGACAGAGAATAAGAAAATAGAAGAAGAACCGAGAAGGAGTCTAGAAAGATCTAAACCGGTGCATAAAATGCCAATGTCTGTACGGAATATGTCACCAGCGAGAGTCAAACCGAAGTTAAATAGACAGAGTCTAAGTGAACATGCTTTATTAGAAAACAATGAAGATCTATTAAAAAGGAGCGTTTCTCAGCAGAATTTGAAGCAAGATATAGCTATGGAGGCGGTTGTAATCGATATGCCGTCGATATCAAAATACGATACGTTTAAAAGTGGCAGCACTATCGATATCGATATCGAAAAAGATAGTGATGTGACACATTTTAGTAGATGGGGCCCTGTTAGGGGATCTAATAGCTATTCGAATCAAGGCGACATCCCTGTCAGTCAGCTGTCAACTATGAACTTTAAAGCGGCTCTGGGCACAGACAAGAATGGACCTCCCGACTCTATGGCTTAATTTTTTTATAACGAGCATGCCTTTCCAGCCAAGCTTATCAATCACTTCCAAACATTTCGTTCGTAAATTGACATTTGACAGCTATCAATAATTCTGACAGCTGTCAGATTTAATTTGTTAGCAATCATTTTGTTTTTTTTTTATAAATTAAGACAATATAAATATTAAATCGGCTTCCTTAAAAATCATTGCTTTGCCAAAGATGCCTTCCCAAAGTCAAATTTTCCTTCCATTGTGCCGGCCAAAATTTTACATATTTTTGTAAGATTTATAGGAATTTTTATCTTTAAAAAAATAAATTTCCAGTTATTCGCGTAGATTCTATAATAAAAAGATAAGTTAAGACAATCTTCCATCTCTCTCGCACCTCTAGTTGTGTGTTTGTCTCTCACGGCCTAAATATTTCGTAATCACAGAATGAAAATTAGTTTTAATTTGTCCAATATTTGATCAAATGTTGGACAAACTGTTGAATAACAAATCATTCTTTTCTTTTACATATTTGAACAAATGTTTTAACTGTTGGCCAAATTTTTGTCCAATATTTGAACAAACGATTGGCGTATTTGATTATTTCTTGTCACAATTATTAGGTCACTATATAAGACCTAGTTATTTGCCATTTTTGTTAAATATATCAAGTTAAGTTTTTTTAACGTTAATATAATTTTATTCTGGCACTTTTTAAATAAGTCGTTTTGTAGACATCACGTGATTTTTTTTTTATTTTAAAACATACGATATTATAACGAAATATATTTACTTAAAAATGTGTAGGTAACGAAATATATGAAAAAAATGTTAACTGTTTACATATTTTATTAATAGTGTTATAAATCTATTGTTATTTATAATGTTTGTATTACACGTGTGCGATAACATGACACCTTGGTTAATGACGATGTCTCAAATAAAAAAGGCGACACTTTAGGGAAGTAAATGAACACGGAAGGGGATGTCCTATTTCTCTGCAGCTTCATGTAAGTTATTGCAGATGTTTAACATTTACGTGGACCCTTAGGACTTATGAAGGGGGATTGTGTACAGATTTGACCTCGTGGGCATAAGTCAAACTAAATTATGACTTCTCATTCTATAGACCTATATTATAGCATTTTTTTAATAAATAAATAAAGATATTTATTGTAACAAAAAAGTTTCTTATGAGCTAAGTAAAAAAAATTAGATTGACAAGAACGAGCTACAAACTTAGCGTGGACTTCATGACCTAAACTATGCGGAGCTGGTTTTCAGTTCAGTCGTGTCTTGTTTGACATTGTATTGACTGTTTTTTTTTTTTTTTTTAATTCTGGTGCCTATTAGTTATTGAAGTTGCCACTAAGCAAGAAATTCCCACCTTTCGTAATTCCCCAATATTGAAAACAAAACGAATGTTATTTTTTTCGAAATTCAATTTGGAAATGTCGATAATCCCTCGTGCAGTTTCCCTTATTGGTCATAATATGACGCTTTCAAGATGGCTTTATTTACTAAATTGCCAACCGCCTGATCCTTGTATGTCTATATAGTAAGGTTGTTACGAAGGCCATTTTAACGGAAGCGGATGCGGTTGCGGATACGAACGGCTTCACCTCTGCAGAAGCGGTGGTCAATAATAAATTATTAATTGCGATTTATTAAAGAAATAAAAACTCCAACTACGTTATTTCAAAATACAGATTGGTACATACAAGATACAGTTTATTATGCAAATGTAATGTATAACAATTATAGTTAGTTGACAGATCATGCCCGCGCAGGCATAAACAATACCTAATTGCCCCACTCGCGTTGAAGACGTCCATAACCTCCGTTATTGTTATAACGGAGGAGTGTGGAGTTCCACATAAGAAATAACGAAAGCGGAAGCGGATGCGGAGTTATCATTTCTTGCAGAATTTCCGCAGTTGCGGATGCGGAAGCGGAGTTCCGTTACAACCCTACTATATAGGTGTCTTTATATTGTGTGTCCCTCGTTGGTAGATATCATTGTTTGACAATGCTGTCATGTTATTTCACACGCGTTGTAATACAATTGTTACAGCCTTCGTATGTTATATTGTCTAGATTTGCCAAAAAAAAATCATTTAGAAACTAGAAGTCTTATATAACTGCTTTGTTTATTCAGTTAATTAAAACATTATTTATATAATTACACTAATATTATAAATGCGAAAGTTTAGATGGATGGATGGATGTTAGAGTTTGTAGCCTAAACGGCTGAATGGATCTCGATGAAATTTGGCATAGACGTAGAGGATAGTCTGGAAGAACACATAGGCTACTCACTTTCGGTTTTTTAAATTCCACGCGGACGGAGTCGCGGGCGAAAACTAGTTAAAACATAATTTATATAAAAATCGATTAATCTGTTTTTTAGTTGATGTAAAATTTTATTTGCATTTAGTATTATTCCGATTGGTTATTTCATAGTGTTTTTAAACAAATTAGGGAACAAACTTTTTTCGTTCTCAGAATATTTTTTAGTTTAATTACAATCTAACTCGTGATTTAAGAATGTATACAATCTTACCAACATTGTTTTTTTAATATATAAATAGACTAGCTGATCCCCGTAACTTCGTCCGCACGGAATTAAAAAAAATTAGTAAATAGTATATGCGTTCTTATGTTGAGCCTTTTTGTAGACACGTAGTAACATCCATCCATCCAAACTTGCATTTATAATATACTAGTTTTCGCCCGCCATTCTGTCCGCGTGGAATTAAAAAAAAACATAAGCCTATGTGTTTCCAGACTTTCCTCTACATCTATACCAAACTTCATTGAGATCCGTCCAGCCGTTTAGTCTACAAACTCTAACAAACATCCAGCCATCTAAACTTTCACATTTATAATATTAGTATGATTAAACCCGAAGCAAATCGTATGCATGTTGAATGGTTTGTTTTTAACAATGTTACCATTTATATTTCATATCTATAGTTATGATATTTAATCTGTATTTTGTTAGGATTCGCATTGTTTTAATGGCGATTGTTTTTTAATTTACGAATAAAGGAAAGATTTTGTGTCTGTAATATATTACTAACTAACTGTTGCTCGGGATTTGGCCTGCGTGAATTTAAAAAATTTAGCCTATGTTACTGATAACGCAGTAGTTTTTGAGCTACTTCAATATACAAAAATATAAATCTTTTCCTGACCAAAAAAGTTTTTATCTTGCGGGGATAGTCACGAGCAATAGCTAGTTTTTAACAAATCTAATTCAATATTTCCTTTATTCAAGAAGTATGTAAATTATTAAAAATTGTAATCATTTATTTCAAAATATATATAATAATAAAGCCTTTATTGCTATAGATATTTTCAATTTTCAAAATATATAATTGTATGTAAATAAAGTGTTAAGATATAATTGGTTTTTAATAGCATTTGGTGGTGGACGAGGCTTTGAATTAACTTATCAATAAAATTGGCAAAAATATTCACTAAATAACTAAGTCGTACCAAAATTCCTGATAATTTTGATTATATTTCAATAAATTAGTTAATCAAAATTCAAAATAAAAAAGATTACTTAAGACAACTGAAGGTAAGTCAAATTAATGGAGTTATAATAAAATACATCTTATAAAAAAAAGTTAACTACTATGTATATAAAAATTAAAAAAAAATGAGGTAAATTTAATCGTTTCCACTAAACACAAAGATGTTGCTATCTCTTCATGTGTGAAAGAGATGACTATATGTCTCTGTGTTGCGAGTGGGAGAGCATGTTTGTATTGCATGAGCTTTGTCGCCTGCATTACCATGTTGCTGTGACCTACCCTTTTTGCAAGTACCTACATTTAGTAACCATTTTTTTAGTTTGAAACATAAAAATAGTTGATAATTGCAAGTATTGTTTTTAGATTATGTAGATTTTGCCCGCGATTTCGTCTGTACCGAATTAAATTTTTGTACCTATTATGTCTTCTATAATATGTTATATCTGTGCCAAATTTCGTCAATTCCATTAAGCCGTTTTGGAGATTTTTAACATCCATACAAACTACCATTTATATAAGTAAGATTTAATTTGACCTTGATGTGAATTTATTTACTTCACATGAATTATAAAACTTATATCGGTTATAAATAAATGAGTGAAGCAGTTATAACCGGTTATTAGTCAAGTAGTTGTCAATTGTCTATAGTCTAAGCAACATGTTAATTTTGGCTGACGGTACTAACATGCAGCTTTAAGATGCGACCTAACTTGGATGGAAAAGGAACGTGGCTCCACGGATATGGTATGTTTACACGCCTGCCTACTATTTATACTCTATCAGCCTTACAAATAAACGCGGTATAAAGTTAAACTTAGGAATAAACAGTATTAAGTATAAAAATAGTACCGTGTAGTGGAATTAGCGCAACACTAGATTATCGGCATAAGGCACGTCCCTAGCTGACAGCTGTCAATGTCATTAGAAGGATGGGATATTCGCGCGCATTTGTGGCGGGATCTCTAGTGGTGTGTTTAAATTTATATCGCTAGTTACAATTGTATTGTTTAAAATTATAAGCAAATTTGTACTAATGTTTGCTTACACTCAGTTTATTCCTAAGTTGAACTTTATACCGCGTTTATTTTAAGGCTGTATACGTTTTGAATAAGAATGTGCAAGTCTATGCCTGGTTTGTTGGAAATAAATTGAATATTACAATTAATGAAATAAAAATTATTGAAAACATACTTGCGTTATATATATTGATCTTCAAAGATCTCAATTTGATCGGGTTTTTAACAAAATTATTATTCAACATTAATTATTGTATAGTTTTTCTTAAAAAAGATCACCGAAATATATAATTGTTTGTTAAAATATTGTAACAAAAATCTTGTTTTAATCCATGTATGTTTTACTGAGCAATCGTTTGTAGTCGACTATGACGTCATATGTCTCGATTTGCACATTCTTATTTGATACTATAATAAGCTATTTAAATGTATCATAACTTGTAAATATTTAAAGCACTCGCTGTTGATATGTCGAAAAGAAATCGACCAATTACATCACATTCCCATGTATGAAAGTCAAAATGTGTTGGAAATGAGAGTTTAATGGTTCACAGAATAAAAAGACAAACTAGTTAAAGAAGTTACACAGAGATTGAACCCTCATGTGTTTTAAACTTTAAGATAAAAAAAAATCTCACTAAAACAATCCTTTTGTCATTTTATCCATAGTAAGTTCCCGATTTAGTAGAAATCATTTTATATATGGCAACTTGAACAATACAACCATAGACATTTTTTTTTATGTTTAAAATATTTCCAGGCTCTGGATGAAGAGTTCGCAGCTCAATTAGAGGAGCAAGAGAGATTGGCGGCTAACGCCCGCCTACCCCCGCCGTCGCAAACCTGCACACTACCACAGCACAGCTCTACGCTGCACTCGTCTAGGACTAGCCTTGCGTCTAGCCATTACGATTAGACCTAGTCATCTCGAACAGTCTTTATATAAACTGTGGTAGAAGAAACTAGGTCGACAACCCTAATGCTGGACAGAATATGCTCATCGTTTTGCGAAGGTCAAAACGGAACGTACTTTTTATATGTCAAATAAGTAGCTCAACGTAAACATTTTTCTCTTACACAATACGTCCGACACAAGTAAATATCACGTTTAAAATGAATTTATCTTTTTAAATCACTTTACAAGCACTTGTCCAATAGATATTTAGTCTGTATACAAATGTCACGTGATCATAGAGTACTATCAAATTGACAACGTGTCAAAGATATATAATAGTTTTTTTTTACGAAGCTGGTGTGTGTTCAAATGTTTTAGCTGACTTGATTTTATTTTAAAACCTTTATCGTGATTTTCAATTTCCAATTATTTTATCTGTATCGAAATTAGATGTCATAATTGGCGGGAAAATTGAGTAGATCGAAAAAAAAGAACGTATAAAATATTAGTGCCAAAAGTGAAATTGATCGAATTTTCGAGAAGGCTTTTTACTTTTAAAACACGTAAGCGGTATGTTAGTAAATGAAAGTGAGAAATTTGTGTATTTGGCGGGCCTTATCCAAAATGTTTAACTTTTATTGATCATAATTAATGTATATTTGAATGGAATTGATAAATGTGATTGGCTACTGGTATTCAGAGCATTATTTGACTGTTTTTTACATTCAAAATTATAATATAAGCTTGCATATACAAGGAAGAAAATACCCAACCTAAAGGAGGTTCTAAATACGATTAGAAGATACTAGATCAAAGCCCTGATATATTTAAACAAAAAAAAAATACCTTAAATTGTAATAAAATTGACCTTAATAAGCTTATGAATGTAGATAACGAAAATTAAGGTGCTTTTTAAACCCGTTCCCATTTGATCTGAAATGAGATCTGAACTGCGATTTATGTAAGTTACGTTTGGCCTAAAGTGTTCGTAGATTAGACATAACCTAAGAAAAGGTTACGCCTATTTTTTTTTAAATCAAAACAAGACAAAGGACCCCTCAAGAGTTTACATTATAATTAAGTAAATATAAATATTTAGAAAGAAATTATTTTACACAAATGTCAGTGTATGCCGACATGAACAAAAAATGCCCTAATTTTTATTCGTATTATGAAAAATTTACAATATTAGGTAAAATATAATTTAAGGAATATTGTGTTAACAGTTAGGATTTGGTTTTTACCGATAATTACCGGATTTGACGTCATTTTGACATTGACGTTTTACTATTGCAAGTTTTGTTTTTAAATCAGGCTCGATACAGAGTAAACAATGACTTTGTTCAAGTGCATTGCAGTTCGAGATGTATATTTTGTACAGTTATTAATAACAACAAAAAATAAACGATGAAATGTGAAATTTAGTCAGCTAATTAGGAACAAGGCGACTGACATGTAGATATAGGGGAAAAATAAAATATTTTTTCATGTACAGTATTTGTGTATTTTAAAGTTAAGTACATGTGCCTACTTAATTTATGAGAAACTTTTGAATCGTATTTCTTTATAGGAATCCCGAACCTGTTTTTATTCCGCCATTTCTGAATCCCTTACGGTAAACCAAAGAACAAGATATTTTCAACAGTTTAAATTTCACGAATCCCTAGTCTCGCTGATTATATTTAAAATGTATAAAGAGAAAAACAACGATTGATAATTTTAATTTTACTCGTTAAATCAAATTAAGTCAAGAAGTTTCTGAACGTAATGAGCGCGAAAATTGCGCGCTTCTGTCAAACTTTATATTTTTTGTTTAAAATATGTGAATAATTTGTTTAAGAATGTATAAAAATGTCTTATACTTTTCCTTTTTTTATCCCTTGTTTTAGTAAGCTATGTTTCTGTCATGTACTTTTTATTTTGTTATTAATTGACATTTTCCGGTTTAACATTTGGGTATATAGATAAAATTCGAGATTACCACAGTATTTCGGGCAATATTAATAATTCGAATAAGCCATAGCCTTTTTAATATTAATTTTAATATATTAATATTATTTTTTTGTCAGTAAGCGAAAAGTAAATTATTGTTACTACTTTCGAGATATAAAAAACTTACTTTGTAATTATGTGTTTTATTTCATTTGATCCTTTTCCTTGACTGCTAAAGGTAGAAAAACGTCTGGAGATTATTAATCATCTTCATTCAACAAGTTAATATATGCTTTCCATTTTCCATGTTGAAAATAAAGTGCTGATTTGACTATACGTCAATAATCTAAAATGCGAAAGGTTAGATGGATGTTTTTTGGAATTTGTAGCCTAAAGTGCTGAACGGATCTTGATGAAACATGGCATAGATGTAGATAGTCTGGAAGAACACATAGGCTACTTACTATAGTTTTTTATTTTTATGCGGGCGAAAGCTAGTTTTTGATTGAGATTGTAAAATAAAAAAAAATCACGCTTTAAACTATTTGGTCAATTATCTTCTAAACTTTGTCAAAAAACGACTTTCATATCTTTATTTTTAAAAAAGAAAAGAACATGTCAAATACTTTTGACATTTACGAAATTGACATGTAAATAAAAACATTAAATTTGCCGTGAAAATTAACAAAATTATAAAATTAACACGTGTTGAATGCGCTGATATAAATAAAAAAAAGAAAAAACACTTCATGATCATGCCTGAAACTGATCATGGGGATACACTTTTGCGGTGTAGAGAAAAATTTTGCAAACAGAAAGAATCAACTGAGGAACGATATAAAAAATGTGGCTTGTTAAATCTCATTCAACATATAGATATACACGGCACGTTTTGTTCTAGTTATCATGAAAATAGAAGGCAATGCAGTAATAGTGGATCATTAGGAGTAACCTCGGTTATGTCTCATTCCTCACAATTTTTAACAACAATCCAAGGGACGCAGCGTTTAAAACCGCATAAACTAGAAAAGTTGTCCGTCGCTACGAAACAATGCAGCCTGTACCCGGGACACGATATATTATCTAGAAAAAAGAAATTCGTAACTAAACTAACAACTCAGTCTAATTTTTTATGTAAATCGTAAACCTTTTGGCGTTTATATTGTAATTTAGGTGGAGTTTTTATTAAAAGTTTAAATTTAAATGTGTTTTATTTCTATTCTGTGCTTCTAATATCCAAGCATGATCCCTTTACACTTCAAATATTTTAATTCGCGTAAAGACTATCGTATATACTTAGTATTTTTATGTCTTATTTGAGCAATAAACTTCGTTATCGGTACATCAAAACACGCCAATAGCCAAGCCAGCCCTACATAACTAGGAATCAAACCCCCTCACTGTTCTACTATATCTTTTTAGTTTGTTTTCATAAATCTTTTCCTTCATCTTAACATCCGATAAAAAGAGATATAGGTAAAAATAAAACCAAGCAAATAATTAAGTCAAGATCATTTATTAGTCAAATATAGTTTATTGTTGTCAGTAATTATCCTCCTGTCAAGCGGCCACACCGTCCTGGGTCAAATCATCCTCTGGAAAGAAAAAAAATTTTTAGTGTAAGTATGGCAACATTGACTTCATTATTTGCTATCATACTAATATCATAAATGTGAAAGTTTAGATGGATGTTTGTTAGAGTTTGTAGCCTTAGTTGAACGGATCTCGATTAAATTTGGCATAGATGTAGAGAATAGTCTGGAAGAACACATAGGCTACTCGTTTTTGTTTTTTTTTTTAATTCCACACGGACGGAGTCGCGGGAGAAAGCTAGTTGATTTACATTTTTTGACCCTTTCTCACAAAACTTTAAAGTAAACCATGTTAAAAGAATTATAAAAAAAAATATTCTGTGATTTCCGACATTTTACATAACAAAAGGAATAGACAAAGTATGCAAATGTACAGTCGGGGAAATTCTCGGTGTTCCACATTTAGCTTTCGCACGCGACTCCGTGCGCGAAAAGTAAACAAAAGCAAATAGCCTATGTGTTCTTCCAGACTTTCCTCTACATAACCAAATTTCATCGAAATCCATTCAGCCGTTTGGTCCGAAAATCCAAAAATACAAATCTTTCCTCTTTCTAACATTAGTATAGATATAGATTTATTATTGAAATGACTTTAAAAATACTAGTGCGATTTTAAAAATTCTTTCACTGTTAGAAAGGTAATTTATTTATGAGTAACATAGACTATATTATTTAACACTAGCTGTTTCCCGCGACTCCGTCCGGGTGTAATTAAAAAAAAAACAAAAGTGAGTAGCCTATGTGTTCTTCCTCTACATCTGTACCAAATTTCACCGAAATCCGTTCAGTCGTTTAGGCTACAAACTCTAACAAACATCCATCTAAACTTTCACATTTATAATATTAGTTAGATTTACTAATTTATGGACAAAGTCGCGAGCAACAGATGTCAAGATCAGTTACCCTTATCATCAGTCTCCATTGGCTCAGGTGTCTCCTGGTACGCTGGTGCGAGTGGGGACACCACCACACCGTCCCACACAGTGATCTCTGTGGAGATGTCCTTGCCACCTTCGAATGGCTGCAGACCGAGTACATAGCGGTGACCTCCGCGACCCACCACGCGGAGCAACCTGGGAGATATGTCAAATTAAATCAACCGATACAAGAAGCAGCTGTTTGAGACCTCAATGTACAGTGAGATATGTTGTCGATGTAGAAATGTACAGAGAGGTATGTTGTGGA